CCAGGCTGGCCTTGAACTGCCATCCTCAGCTCTCAGCCTCCTGAGAAGCTGGGGTGACAGGCGTGAGCCACCGGCACCCAGCTGTGAGATGCTCAGAGCTGTTCTTAGCAATGGGGTTGTTTCTAAGGATGTGAATCTCACAAGACAGGCCATGGGGAGTAGAGGCAATGGCCAGGGCAGAGAGGGGACGGTCCATCCAGACCTAGCCCACCACAGCAGAGTAGCTCCCAGCTACTCTGCAACGCAGGAGGCTGAGATCTGAGGACCTCAGGTCAAGGCCAAGGCCACACAGGAAAGTCTGTGAGAGTCTTATCTCCTTGGGGGAAAAAAGAAAAGCCACAAGTGGAGCTGTGGCTCAAGTGGTAGAGTGCTAGCCTTGAGCAAAAGAAGCTCAGGGACAGCGCCCAGGCCCTGAGTTCAAGACCCAAGACCAACCAAAAAAAAAATTGCAAGCCAGATCTGTTCTGAGTATCTCCCCCCCCTTTTTTGTTTTTTGTTGTTGGTTGTGGGACTTGAACTCTGGGCCTGGGAGCTGTCCCTCAGCTATTCAGCTCCAAGCTAGGGCTCTACCATCTGAGCCACAGCGCCACTTGCAGTTTTCTATTGGTTCATTGGAGATAAGAATCTCACAGACTTTCCTGCCTGGGCTGGATTTGAACCGTGATCCTCAGATCTCAGCCTCCTGAGTAGCTAGGATGACTGGCGGGAACCTCCAGCGCCCAGCTAGTATCCCCTTTTTTGATTTCCACGTAGGGCACTTCCAAGAGGAGCTGCTCTAGCTGACGAATAAAGCTCTCCCTGTGTCCCGTGCCACCCTACATCCTGGGGCCCACAGGCCACAGCTTCCAGAACTCTCCAGAGACCCTTTGGTCTGAGACACTAGGGATCTGTCCTTGCTGGATCCTACAGACAAAAGCAGGGGTGGGGTTGGAGGAGAGGGTAGGCGGGGCGCCCCGTCCAGAGGGCACTCACAGAAACCAGTCCACAGCGATGATGAGTGTGATGTCCTCGGTGGGCAGGCCCACGGAGGTGAGCACGATCACCATGGTGACCAGGCCCGCCTGGGGGATGCCGGCCGCGCCCACGCTGGCCGCTGTGGCCGTGATGCTGGAAGAGAGAGGAGAGGGGAGGGGTGGGATCGATGGAGTCAGCTCAGCTCCCCAACCCGGCACCCAAAGAGGAGAAATACTGCAGGAGCTGCCTGACAGCGAGGGAGCTCCCCGGAAGACAGAAGATGTCAAACTCAAGGAAGTGGAGTAGAGTGGTGGGCTAGTTTTTTTTTTCAGGGTTGGGGGGAGGGGAAGAAGACCTGGGTCAAAGGGCACCAGATTTTAGTCACAAAATTAGTAAGTCCTAGGGATCTAACGAACTGTATGGCAACTAGAGTTAATAATGGCGGTGTTGCAGGGAGAGGAGAATGTAGGTGTTCTCAGAACACCAACAAAAACGAAGGAAGGAAGGAAGGAAGCAAGGAAGGAAGGGAGGGAGGGAGGGAGGGAGGGCAGAATGAGGGAGAAGGGAAGGGACGGAGGAAAGGGAAGAGAAAGGTAATTATATAGTGTTGCATAAATTCATCAGCTTGATACAGAAATCATTTTTGATGGGTATATATATGAGACCACATTACATACCTTAAATCTATACACAGTTTGCATCAGTTACCCCTCAATGTGGGTGAGAGGAGGGGAGAAGGAGTAGTTTTGGTTGTTTCCCTTTTTTTTGTTTTTTTGCCAGTCCTGGGGCTTGAACTCGGGACCTGGGTGCTGTCCCTGAGCCTCTTTGTGCTCAAGGCTAGGGCTCTACCATCTGAGCCACAGCACCACTTCTGGCTTTTTTGAGTAGTTTACTTCCTGCCCGGGCTGGCTTTCAACCTCCATCCCCAGATCTCAGCCTCTTGAGTCGTTAGGATGGCAGGCGTGAGCCACGGGCACCAGGTTTCTTGAAGCACCCACATACAGCTTGCCACACTGAGGCGGATTAAGTCAGGTATGGAGTGTATTTGTCGCTCAGTTAAAAAAGAAAAATCTGTTTTGAAAAAACATACTAAGCAACTTGCTGACAGCTCTTGCCTAGATACACTGGGTTCTGTCCTCGGTACTGAAAGTAAACCAATCAACCCTCAAATTAATCAATTCAAAGTGACACACACACCCCTCCCCGCTGTGGCCC